TAAGTAAGTGCTTACATTTCTCACTAAGCATCATTCCTGCTATGCTGGCACACTCAAATACATCATTATCATCCCCTTCTATACATTTTAAAATTCCCACTACAATTTATGTTTTAAATTGTGGGATGTTTGAAATGTGCAGTTATTTTTTTAACCTTAGAGCTATGTATGGCTATGTTATTAAATTCTGGCCCAGGCATATGGAAAGACATATATACATATGTATACAACTTTCCAACACCATTGAATGAACTATACATTCTGTTTCTTTCCTTTTTTCTTTCTTTCTTTTCTTTTCTTTTTTCTTTTTTTGGTTTTATGAGACAATGTTTCTTTGTGTAACAGTCCTAGCTCTTGTAGACCATGCTGGCCTCCAAGTCAGAGAGATCCACCTGCCTCTGGCTCCCAAGTGCTGGGTTGAAGGTGTGTGCCACTACCACCCTGCAAACGGTACATTCTTTTATCTCCCAAGATTCCTTTTACTATTTGTAATGCAGTCATAAGGAGCACAGATGGACAAGGCAGAACACATGGAGGCTGGGACTCTGAGACTCAGCCATGGCACCATTGTTCCAAGTACTCACTAAGCTTGGCCTGCTACTGAAAATGAACTTTATCTTAATGATTCCACACTATTATATGGGATGTCTGGGCTGCTACAGTCACGCCAAGTTTCAATAACAGAATGTGAGAATCTAAAGTATCCAGGTGTTCATAAAATAACAATAAAGAGAGACTCGTAAAATACTTGAAAAATGATCTAAGTTGAATTGCTGTAAATTCTCTTTTAATTCCTTACTTTCTCTCCTTCCCTGGGCCCTAGCTTCCACTTACTGAGTGTGCTAGTCCGTTCTTAGAACAGTGACATCATTTAGAGCTTCCAGTCCTTCATTTTTTCAAGTGTGTTTACAAAGCTGGTTTTCATCCAAGGAGCCCTCCTCCCCCACTTTATTTCCAGTCTCTCACTCAGCACACCACTCTGTCAGGGGCAGGGAGACTACACCCTATGTCTTCACACTGCATCTCACACCACAGGCGAGGGCACAGAAGCCATTGACAGCTCTCTATGGAATAAAAGAAAGTTTCCTACTCTTTGGCTCCCAAATTTATCCCCAAGGAAAAGTTAAAATTCCTCCCAAGTCTCAGCTTTCAGTGCCAACCAGTAGAAACTGGTTCTCAAAAGGAAGCCACTTGTACCTCTGGTGTCACAGCAGATCAAGCCCAAAGTTTGCATTTCACAGACCGAGACTGCTAACACCACACAGCTGTGACCCATGCTGCCGACTGTAAGGGACCCTGAGGAAATAGGAAAGCTCTGAAAGGAAACAAAAGTCAGGTGTTTCAGCAGTTTCTGCTGAGCACAGCCTCTGGGACTTTCTGACCTTACCAGATCGCTGCACTTGGCCTACACCTGGCACTGCCATTGACTTTGTACAATTCCCAGTTGTAGACACTGACAGAAAATGAGTCCCATTTACAGATGATACATTTAGGCTAGTTTCAATTGATTTTATTTTCTACTCGGGAAGAAGCCAGTTCACTTCAGGACCCACCCCTTGGTCCTTTTTTCTGTCCAACGCGCCCCTCTCCCTGCACTTCTTTGTTCTTTTGAATCAGTTATAATACCCTGTTCCTGCCATCATTTAGCAGTTAAATAAGCAAATTTCACAGAAGCATATTTTATTAAGCACAGGACAATCATGATATCAACTCTTTAAAGTATTATTGACAAACCCTACGCTCATTTCCATTACACCCTTTGTCTGGATGCCTCCTCTGGCTCCTTCTGCAGGACACTACCAAACTCTTCATATGTCACAGATAGTTCTCTCCTCCTCCTCAGGTCTTCAGACTACAAAATCTATCACTTTTGTGATGTTCCCAGACACAATGCTGCTCTCATTTATCCTACCCATCTTTGTAACAGCAGCTGCACCGTGCACTCTCTCCCACCAGAGTGCTCCGAGCAGTCCACTTACCTCCCAGCAGTCCTCACTGATATGCAAGTGACACCTCTCCTCCACCTGACAACACATCACCTTGAGGGTGCCCAGAAAACACAAACGTCTCATATTTCCCCTGCCTATGAGTGGAGGATTTTCATCCAGAGTTTTCTTCAGGTAATCACTTCTTTTTATTTGGGAGATCAACTTGCCACATTTTGGTTGAAGGGGTTTCCTTTTAAGCAAAACTCCATGTAAACAGGAAAATGGTTTGTGCTCAGTAAAACCTTAAATAGTATATGGTGCCATAACAAAAGACCCAGAAACTAATTAACATACTTCTGGGAAAATTTCCCCCTTAACTACTGGATTGATAGTATTTATACTTAGTTTGCTATGTACAGTCTTGTACAAGAGTAAGATAGAGTTCAACATTTTCCATCAACACATATTTACTAAATGCCTGCCATGTAAATGAATCTTTGACAGATATTGGGGATTTGTTTACAAAAAAAGCATAATTTGAAATCCAAGGAGCTTGTCTGATAGTGAATGAGAGGAACGAGGAAGAATAAACACACAAGCAGAGTTCAATGGTGGCAACTCTCAAATGACATCACGGGATGATAAAGAAACATGCTGCAGAGGGCCGAAGGGGAGGCGGAAGCAGGGAGGGGAGCAGAAAAAATGTATAGCTCAATAAGACCAATAAAAAAAAATACACACACTGCTTTTGGGTATTAACTACCTGAACACGTAAAACAATCAATCACTAGTACCCCTAAGGGAATGGTGAACGGCAAAGTGACATCTGCTGCCCCACAGCACACACCCTGCATGTGACGCCTGTGACTTTCAGAACCAGAGACAAGTGGGAGACACCAGTATGTGCCTTACTCTAGAGTCGGAATTACGAGAGAATAATAAATGATTCAAACTGTTTCAGCATACTTGATTTTATGAACTATAAAATACTTTATCAGTTGAGGAGCCCACCTAGTGAATTAAATTCCGCTTCTTATAATGCCATATGAAGTCAAAGGACTTCATAATATTTGAGCATTAAAATTATCATCAAGTACTTTAATTTTTATGGCTTTATTTATGGTAATTATTTTTGAGAAAACTGTTACCTTACCAACCCCAGTCCATTTAGTCATTTTTATTTTTCTCACAATGACTTTTAATTTTTAACTTAGGTTCCAGGGGACACCTCGGAAAAGGTCTTTAAGATTCTACCGAATCATACTTCACTAGAAAAATATGTTAGGTATAGAAAAAGATAAACAAATACAAGGAAACAATAAAGACTTTGCCTTGATGTAACCTGTCATTTTGGAAATCACACTGACAAAATTGTAATATTAAAAAAAAAACACAGTTAACACATGATCACAATGATAATGGCAACCCAATACTAGGCTTTTCTATTTTTCTAAGCTTTTTCCTTCTCTGGTATCAAGACTTGCTAAAATTTTACAGATGCAGAGTCAATGAAGATGTATCTTTATAGACGTGTTGGATAGTATTTCATGCTCTCAGTCTGTCTCCAAATACACACATTGTCATTTTACTCGTGTTTTAAAAGAGAATACTTAAGTCATAAGCTTGTTGGCAAGACACTCCTAAAAGTAAAAATGCAGAGGAAAAGGCAGACACTGTATGCCTCTAATGGTGTCACACCGGAAGGGGGAAGGTGTGTGAACTTTTTGAGGGTTAACCCAAAGGAAGAAATTCCCAAGTCTGGACAGTGTCACTTTATAAAAACAGACTCCTTTATTTCTATTCATAAAGTTAAGCTAAGAGACTTTTTGTACTAGCTTTATTGCTTAAAGGAGTTTCATTCCTCCCTGTACATTAAAAATTTACCAAAAGAAAAATCACCACTGTTCCCAAGACACTGCTAATATTTTGTGTAGTTTCTTAATGACTGTTTAATGCAAAAATATGCATATCTAGTATTTGTATCAAAGTTTATACATTGGTATACTCCCCCCCATAATAGCACGGCAATTTTTACTTTACTTTTTTTTTACATCTTTACTTCTTTAAATATGTCTTTTTATTGCTGCATAATATTTTGCCATAAAGCAGTACTGTAGTTTATTCTACTGTTTCTCTGCTTCCCTTTATGACTGTGGTGCTGGAGACGAATCCAGAGTCTTGCACGTGCCAGTTAAATAACTGACCAGTGGAGCACACACCGCAAGCCCCGTGCTTCTGATTCACATGCTACTGTGCAGAAATACTTACCAAATCAAAACAACCATATTTTCTAAACCTGGTAAGCAAAAAAACATACTCACAAAACTTAATTTGTACCTGGCAAGTGCCTGCTGTGTGCTCTCCCACCCTTCTGTGTCTTAGGTAAGTAGACCACCACTGAAGTCATGGGAGTTTGCGTCTTAACTTAGTTTTTATTTGAAGTTATAACATAAGCCTCTTTTATGATGACCACAGCATGGTGAGTTACAATGCTGCACTTCATCTATGTTCTTCAACTGTAAATATGTTGGTTTCTCTCTTATATTTTAAAATTAATTATTTTTCTAATAAATAAATACAATCAGGCAGTGTTTATAGCTAGATATTTAAAACCATTCCCCAATAGTAGATTTGTTCACGTAAGATTGTCAGAAAAAGGCTGACCAGTTTTTATCATTCTCTTTGGACAATGGTAAAAACTAAAAACAATATATTAAAAACTTGAACTTCAAAAATGCTTGCTAATCAGCATTTCCAGTGATGGCGGAATGCAGAAAGGGCAGACAATGCATGGATCATATTCACACCGACCCTGTTTTCCAGAGTAGTTCCTCTTGGCTTGCCTCTGCCGAGACAGCTGCAGTCCTCTCCACAATTCATACTTCCCTTTTGAGAGGTTTCACCAAGAAGTCTACGGCCACATACCTTTTAGACACAGTTTAGTGCCTTCCCCACTCTCAATCTTAGCGGTAGTTCTAGAAATGCTTTCTGGAACTGCTTCCTTTGGTGGGCTCTGAAATCCACATCAGAGAGCAGTAATTCTGATACAAGAAGGAAAATGCCCCCACTTACCATTTCTAAAGCATTTACACGGCCCTGCAAATGAAGCATAAGACAGGTTATTAAAGCAAAGTGGTAAGCCGACTTTGTTTGCAGGTTTTTCTATCTACCTGCTATTAGCAAAATATTATTTTAAAAATATAAAAATTAAAACTCCATTATCAAATGAGCTCAGCAACAGAAAAGCAGGCAGAAAAGAACTCCAATGCCTTTTCTTATTGTACCTACCGATGGATGGGACCTCAGGGCTTAACTTAATAGAAAATGCGACGAATTCAGATCCAGTTACTGAGAAGAATAGCTCGTATCTCCACTGTACTGCTAAAATTATCCCCTTAAGGATATGTAAGTGTGAGATAAATGTAAACACACGAATCACAGCTGGGTGGTAGCAGTGGCATGCAGAAGGCACAACACACACTAGACTCATTAGGCAAACACTGAAGTGTGTGATCTAGAAAAATTTAGATTTAACTTAAACAGTTAAAGATCATGGACAAATATTGAATGATAAAGATTTCTATGCAGCCGAGGGCCCTGCTATACAGTTCATTCTACAGAGTAACTACAGAGTCTAGTTTACAGAAATGCTGGTTTTAAAGGAGTCTGGGACAACACTATTTAACAAGCCAAATGATTGAGGAAAAAAAGTTTTGAACTCAATAACTATACTCACAACTATCTAGAGGTTAAATGGGGAAACTGGACATATTCACCAAGTTTAAAAACTGGATTTGAGAGGAAGCTAAGCCAGAAGGTCAAGATGGAATGTCAGATTTTCTAGGGGGACAAGGCCACGTGTTGCTCTTCTAACATTTTGGGCAACTAGAGAAAATCTATGGAATTAGGAATCTTTTTCTTTAATTAGATTCACTTACATTGTTTCAGCTCACCAGAAACTGAGGGCTTTTCTCAGAGGAATTCTATGAGTTGTCTCCCAGTCTCCACACTGAGAAACTGAGTTCAACAGCCTGTAAGCATTTGGTTATGCAGGCACAACTTAGCATATCAACACCATACACTATGGAACACAACCCAAAGCTGGCTGCTAAGCAACATAATTCGTTTAATTACCTTTTATTGGTATACTTGGTAGGACTTCCCCTTACCACCATTATTTTCATAAATCAATATTCCATGGTGACTTATGAAATGTCACGTTTGAATGTGATCTCAAATGCATATGGCACCCGAAAGAGCCTCTACTCTGCTGCTACTGTAGGCTTCCTAGTCATAGAAAACCTGGAGCATCACCTTTCAGCAATGTGTCACTGTCCTGTGCAGACTGAGCAGACAGCAGCCATGGTCACCTTATATAAGCCACTGCATAGGGAATTCGAATATCTACAACCCTTACATGAACTTGAAGATTCCCCATACCATGCTCTGTGCCTGATAATGTTTAAGGTTACTATATTGTAACAAAACACATATAACTGACTTGAAATAAGAAAATTCATATAATGTGAAAACAGAAGAATATCAAAACAGAAGAGCTTAATCTCCATCTGCTTTAATTTTTATCACACTTATGGCAAAGGTATCATTCTGATTTATGCTATGCCTGAATTCTATCCATCTGCTTTCACCCTTATCACACTTATGGCAAAGATAAACTGATTTATGCTATATGTCTGAATTATCTCTAAATATTTGTATAACTTGTAAACATGAGCCTACTCTATAGAACTATGGACAAAAAACACAGTCAAATTACACCATCTGTTTAAAACATAAAGCCAAAGAGCACTACATCTTCTGTGTCTTACTAATGCCTACCTGCCTACAGCCTGCTTTCTTCCTTAGTGGTAATGGAATTAGGATGCCATAGAAAATGAAAAATAAATAAAAAGAGCCAGGAAAAGCCTGTGAGGTGGTTTATGGGTAGTGCTTGCCAATAAGCCTGATCCAAAGTTTGATCTGGGAAACACAGGGTAGAATGAGACAGTCAATCCTTAGGTGTTATCCTGAGACATTTACAGGAGTGACTCCACACACAAACACAAAAAAATGAAAGTGGATTTGTTAAATGAGGACATTAAAGAAATAGGAGGTTCTTATTAACCTAAATTTTATTAATTCAAGTTGTCAAACAACACAACAGCAGCTAATACTAGCAGATAATAAGGTCATTGTTTCCACCAGTGCATGGTCTAAACCACATAGGTTTAAAGTCTCAATTGTAGGAGATAAAAAAGACAATTATCTTTTTCAATTAAGGTGACTTAAAAACTTACGAATGTAGAAAACCATAGCTGACCACAAATGTAATCAATTTCTCTATTAAGACCTTCACTGATGAGTTGGTGTTCTTTCTTTTTCTGTTTGAACTGCCAAATTTTGATTCCATAAATTTTATCTTCAGGCTCCACATAGGATCAACACCCTTTAAAGTCCTTATTTTCAAGTCTAAACGTTGAAAAGCATAGTAACATTAAAGGTGTAGTTAAAGGTTGAAGACTGGGAGAGGGAAGGCAACCTCCACAGTAATGAAGATACTGTCATGGTAACCAAATTATTTTAGGTGATGGATTAGAATGAATAACTTTATCTTTACAGTCATAGATTTGAGCGTTAGCTGAAAATAAATCTTCTAGAGAAAATGGACATTATATATAACAGACTTATACACATAATTTTTTATGCTTTTAAGACAATGGCAGAATCTCCAAAGTTCTCTAAGAACTTCCAGTTCTTACTTCAGATAGAAACATAAAATAAGACGTGGGAGTAGCATACAAATAAACTACTCTATTAAACAAATCTACTTCTCTTTAAGGAAATGTTTCTGAATAACTAACACCAGGAATAAGAACAAAATTAAGACTAACGCAGAAGCAAAAATATGAATTTCTGAGGGAAATACAAGATTAAACAACAATATCAAAATAGAAATAAAAGGGAAAAGTTCCTTCAAATATTTTGAAGAAACAAAGTTTAGGGATGATAAAGACTCCAATGTTATCACTGGGATTTTTTTGTGGTTAGATAATTCATTTCTACCACTCTTTAATTATAAAGTAAAGTTTCAGAAACATCTACAGTGGAAAACAAATAATGATTTTAATATATACAGGATTCCCACGGAGCTGGACAGTCACTGGCTTAAATGTACAGAGCTAACAGTTATTCTCACACACAGTCATTAGAAACTATCTAGTGACAATAATGCAGCTAGACACTGTGTTCTAATTTATTCTGGGTTTGACAAGCCATGCAGGCAGAGATATAGTTGGGAGGAAGCTTACAGTATGTATACTGTTAAAATGTATTTTAACTTTTTAAGATGAGGTGAATGCTCTGCTGTGAACCATAAATATTCATTTACTGATGGTTGCAATGGAGTGTGCATTAGGATTCAGGAATGTACCGAGGCAAATTCATTAACATCACTGCAGATGGGAAAGGACTGTCGGCCAGGTTGGAAATGAGCGTGAAATGGATCACTAGTATCTGAATGGAAGATCACTAACAGTTCACTTGAATCAGCTGAACCAATCAATTAGACACATTAAATTAGCTATCACATTTAACAGATGAATTAGAAGCTTACAGATTAAAATAACAAGAATTATTTTGCTGTAGAAAAGGAGAGTTGAAGAATTCTCATGCCCTCATCACAATCACACAGCACTTTCAGAGAAGGCCTGTAGAGGTACCATGAACACAGGAGAAAAACAGCACTGGCATACAAACATAAGGTGAATCTTCTTTTTACAGGTCAAAGCTTTTCAAGTAAAAGAATTTTGTAATCTTCTTTAGAAAGAAGGATTATGATGGCTAACAGTTTTCAAAACGATAATCCAACAGTAAGGACACATTCCCACTAAAATCACATAGCCTGTTCCAGAAGGGTAACTACTCAGTTTCACCCCAAAGACCACTCCTCTTGTCAGCACCAAGGCTTCTGTGAGTATATATATATACACACATGTGTGCCGGTGTGTGCACATGTGGAGAAAATATGTAGATATGTGCCTGTGTGTGCACATGTGGAGAGAATATGTAGACGTGTGCCTGTGTGTGTGTGCACATGTGGAGAGAATATGTAGACGTGTGCCTGTGTGTGTGTGCACATGTGGAGAGAATATGTAGATGTGTCCCTGTGTGTGCACATGTGGAGAGAATATGTAGATGTGTGCCTGTGTGTGCACATGTAGAGAGCAGGAGTCAATGTTGGGCATTTTCCTTAATCACTTTACACCTTAGTTTTTAAGATAGGATATTCTGAATGTGGAACTCATCACTTGGCTACATTAACGAGCCAGCAAGCCTGAAAGATCCTCCTCTCTCCAGCTCACCATCTCTTTGGTTACTCTCATATACTCAAATGTTCAATTTTGTAAGTGGGAATGGAAATCAGGTCCCCAAGCTTGCACAGAGGGCACATTGCCAAGTGAGCCATCTCACCCAGGCCCAATGTCAATTCTATCTAGTGGGCAAACATACTGTACATGCTACACCTTTAACAGAGGATATATGAATGGAACAAAATGCAAGAGGTATATACATTTTATCTTTCTAGGCATTTCCTCATAGCAAATAGTTGCATTTAGTAGTTAGTCATAGTTTAATAACTAAAAAAAGTAGAAAGAACTTCAAACACATTCTTTCCCAAATGTCAAGATAGTACAAAGTAAGAACAAAGCTTTTATTGACTATCACTAACACGATAAGCATCTCCTAGAGGGATTTAAAATAAACTGAAATAAAATGAAGGTTAAAAAAAAAACACAATTTCGGGCTCCACCCTGCTAGCTTCCCGCCAGCCATCCCAGCTTCCATCCAGAGGGCCTTCCCGAGTGGTGAGTTGATTCGGGCCACGGCAGGGGCCCGGCGAGGGGGAGCTAGGACTTTCCCCGACCCCATAGACTCCCAGGTCAGCCTGCCCTGCTGGCTCCACCCTGCTAGCTTCCCGCCAGCCATCCCAGCTTCCATCCAGAGGGCCTTCCGAGTGGTGAGTTGATTCGGGCCCGCGGCAGGGGCCCAGCAAGGAGGAACTAGGACTTTCCCCGACCCCATAGACTCCCAGGTTA